CGATAAAGCTTTAAGACGGACAGTCAGTTACAAAGCGGGAGGGCGCAGTTACTTGGTTGTGAGCGACCGATAGTCCAACACGCCCGTCTCCAAATAAGGAATTACCTTCAGAGAAGAAAGAAAGAAAGAAAGAAAGAAAGAAAGAAAAGAAAGAAAGAAAGAAAGAAAGAAAGAAAGAAAGAAAGCAATTTCGACGTTATTGCTCCGCAGATGAAGTCGAAACGATACAGATGCGCCACCATCTCGAGGAAGAAGGGAACTGCTGCATAAAAATGCTGCACAATGCAACAATATTGTAAGATATTGTTTCGTAACTGTCGTTCGCAACCCAAGACGCGAGAGTTCGGCCTTCTTACGTTCCCTGTTGTTTCGTTTGTGCAGGAAGCTTACGTCGGGGTGATTGGTCACTTTGAAATTTAAATTGAAGAAATAAAAAGGTCCCCGAGGTTTACCTTCAGCTCGTATGATGTATATCTGTTTTATCGTTACGACTGAAATTTATTAACATCGAAAGAAACAAGAAGGAATTATACAATGAGAATTCACTTGGCGACGAACTACGTTTAATGTTACGATATTTAGTAAATAAAACAAGTTTCTATTTGCATAATAGTCTATGTACAGTCTATTTGTCACAATATGTATATATGATATGTATATATTATATAAATACTATGATGATATAAAATATACACTACACTGTATAATATAGAATAAATACTAAGCTATAACAATCATACATGTCTGGTGACCAAAAATATATTTTATACAGTAATTAGTGTAACGGGGGAGAAATTGATTCCAAAAATCTTTCGTTTGCCATCTCTTCGAGCCATTGAGTGAAATGGATTCTCGAAATGGCTCGCGGATGTACTCATTGTCGTGATAGTTAATCGAGTCGCCGCCCGTCTGGTTAATGCTCGAATTTACTACTGAACACAGGTAAAACGTGAACTCTCGCTGCAATCATATTTTACGAAACGTTTCCACGACGCTGGCGCAATCGTCCGTGAACGACGACTTTGCAAACGTCTTTGACGTAGAACAACCGATCCAACCCTGTAACTTTAACTAACGACTGTGCCCGAGTCACGGTTTACGACTTGCTCGCCGGCTAGTTAAGCCAAGTGGCGCATTTCCGCCGTCTTCCCTAAAGGGCTCGTGCAACTTTAACGAGTCAATATAACGTCCAAGAGAAGGAAAAGTCAGCTTGTTTGAATCTGGCTACGTTCGCGTGCACTTGTAAACCATTTGAAGCCTCGATTGGGCAAGCGAAATGCTTTGTTACCGACGGTGTACGGTGTAAAAGGCGTAAAAGTTCACAGCAAGTGGAACATCTCATTAGTTTTGTAAAAATTATCTTTACAGAAAAAAATTCCATTTCTATTTAACGTGGAACATTTTACAGGAAATTTGTCCCGGGTTCGTTCCTGACGGGTCTGGTAATTTTTAATTAGAACTTTTAATAAGTTTCAGCGCAACGTGAGTACTAAGTCAAATTACAAAATTGTTCCGGCTTCGTTTCTGACGGACCTGTCCGATTTTCTAATAATAATTTTTAATAAGTTTCAGCACGACGTGAGAACTAATTGCAAGTCGAGAGTAGATACTATTATGTTCAATTTCCTCTCTCCCCTGTACTGTTAACTAAAAAAGATTCTGGCCACTGTCGAAAATTCAAGTCAGCAGAGTGAGAAATCGCTCCGCGAACTTTCATTAATTGTAAGACGATCACTCTGACTGGTCGAGGTATTATTTTAAAGAATCGATTACTGCTTCTTCTACTTTGATCAGCCTCGTTGTTATTAACGAAAGAACAGCCGGAAAGAGGACAGCGAGCTTCAAGGCGAAGAGGAAAATTGCGCGAAAGGTGTCAGAAGAGTGATGGAAGTAGCGGAGAAATTTTATTCGAAAGGAGGGAACGATGATGATGAAAGAGGAATGGCGGCGGAGCGATCCGCTCGGCGATCGTGAATCGACCGTATTATCTTGGCTTATCCTACGACGTACGATCCTACAAATGTTGCGGAAAGTGGGTCACGCTCGTTGGCCGAAGGAATATCCGCATGAATGAGACAGGACGCGGCCATTAAGCTTTGGGAAGAGACAGCTCTGTGAAACCGTTGTAGGGCGGCGTAGAGGAGAGGAGAGCAAGGAAGGAAGATAGAAACGAGGTTGTTCTCAATGGTCACGTAAGGCAGAGCGCTGGTGACGTCAGTGGGCCGATGACATCATCGTGAGGTCGTCATAACCCCGATAAGGCTGCCGGGTATATAGGTCAAAGAGAAAGAGAGAGAGAGAGGAGAAAAGGATATGGCCGTCGGATTCGTTGGGGAAGGGAGGACGAGGTATTTTCAAATGTCACGTAGGCTGTCGTAAAATTGACTCATTGCCTCGTTAAACGCTCAGCCTGGAATCAGGAAAAAAAAAAAAAGAAAAAATGGCCGTCAACCACCATTCTGATGTCTTTTTTATCTATTGCTTTTTTTCTTTTTCTCCCACGAGTGTGGTTGGTAAGTGAAATAAAAAAGTGAGTGAGATTTTTTTGTTACAGAAAGCTGCAGATTGTTGGATATGTTAAAAGGATATTCTCTTAGCGTTGCAATTTTGGAAGATAATTAATCGAGTGGGGTTAATCAGGGAAAAAAGTTCATTTTGAAAATCTACCGCTATCAGCTGACCGAATTTTGAACCAGTGAGAAAATGAAATTGTACGGTCCAGGGGGGAATATTACTATTACATAGAAAGCGGCTGATTAATTTTGTA